TGGGCTGCGCCACGATGGCTTGGGATGTGCTGGGTTGAGAAGCACTCACTTCAAACACCGGAATGTCCAACTTTGCTGAATGTTGCTCTGGAGCAGCAGCCTTGCTAGATTTAACAATCAGAAATCGATGCATAATGAAGAGAAAAAGGTTAGTGAAAGAGTGCAAAGCCAAGGGAAAGTAACAATGAAATGTTCAGATACACAGATGACAGCAGTCAGCTAACCACCCACTTGCAGCTAACATTATCTTAAAATCAATCTAAAACGTGTTTAAAGGAAATTCCCAAGACAAAGCTAAAAAAGAGAAGCTAAGAAAGAATAGAAAGAAAAGAAATACCAAAAAAGTAAAGTTACATACGATCAACGGTAAGAGTGCAGCTAACGTTATCCAACACAAACGCAGCCACCTACTATATTCTGTTCAGAGATGTATAGTAATGAAGTAGAACTACTTCACTACTGTACTTAAGTACTAAAAGGCCGTATCTGTATTCTACTGGACTATTGTTTTTTTCTCCTACTTCCACTTTTACTTCAGTACATATTTTCGATGAGTTTAATACTTTTACTCCGATAGATTTTTTATGTGCTGCATCGTTACTCGTTAGAATTATAAAAATGTTACGAATCATTCCAAACCCACATTATCACTGCCAGAGCAGTAGTTGGCTCTGTCACAGGTTTGAATAAGCTGGCTCATCATTGAGCGAATCAGACGATCAAAGAAGACAGCGCTGCCTGCCTGCATTGAGAGCACTTTAGTTTGTTTTCGACATGGAAAACCCAGAAATTCCACCTTCAACTCCTTCACTTTCAACTGATCGTGGTGATGAGAAAGACCAGCCGTGGCCCTATTTAGAGTCCATGTTAGCATTTGTCGGAGTGAAAGACAATTCATATAGAATGAAGTGCTTACTCTGCCTCCCGAAAGATTGCGAAATAATGGCCTTCAGAAATTCACCGTCGAATTTGAAGAAACATATCAAGGTAAGTTAAAAATAATATAATACACAAAACACAGCAGTTTGAGCTATCCCTAAGCGCTAGATAAGTTAACTACCGTTAGGTACGCGCGGTTCATAACATGCTGCGATGTTCACTAGCTGGCTATCATAAAGGGTGTCACGCTGAATGGTGTTTTTGATATATATATATATATATGATGTCTTTTGACTGCTTTCTTTAATAACTACATAACACAATACTTGTACTTTTACTTTCAGTATTTGAGGAGTAAATTTTAAAATAAACTACTTGCAATACTTAAGTACAAAAAATGTTGAATACTTTAGTACTTCCACTTAAGTATGGTGCTTAAAGAGCACTTCGACTTCTACTCAAGTCACTTTTTTGATAGAGCACTTGTACTTTTACTCAAGTCTGGGTCTCTAGTACTTTATACATCTCTGACTCTGTTATAGTAATCCAACTACTACCCGATGTAAATATTTCCTGATATATCAGGCCAAAATCTTACAGACCGAGAGAATGGACAGGATGCATACAACTACGAGAGTTGACCCTGACTGTGCTGCTCTGACTGCATCACTGTATTTTACTCTGGACAAACCAACTAATCAGATTTTAGGGGTGGATATTTGGCATTTGCTAAGCTAAAGCTCCAGCTATGTAGAATCTTTGGCATTAGTGGGGCAGGCAGAGCTTTTGGTGGGGCATTGCCCCCCCGTGCCCCTGCCTACAAACGGCTCTGAATGAACCACAAATGGGAGACAGGTGTGAGAAGCTGGCTGGGAATGAGCAGGAAGATATAGTATGGTGCCACTGACATCTGCTGGTCAAACAGGAACATGACAAGACTGGCAGAGATAAATCCTTACAGTATTGAACTGAAAATCTCATGCTAGCTAGCTGACTAAAGTTGGCGGCCCTGCTTCACCTTTCTAACAGTAAGGCTAAGCTAAATAACAAACGCTGTAACAGCACCACAAACTATATCTGTCACATCCCGATTGTTCTGCCCCCTCATTTACTTTGTGTGGAATCATCAGCTGTTTCTAGTTGTGTTTAATTAATTAAATGCATTTAAGCGCGTTTTCATGAATGTTTCCCCAGTCCAGTCATTAATGTCATAATGTCGCTCTAGCCTGTTCCATGGTCCCCAAATAAATCCTACATTTTCCCCAACTTCCTGGACTCCTGTGCCTGCTTCCCTGCACCGTGCCAGCACATCGTGACAGAATGACTGGACTCCAAAAAGCCACCTCGCCTCACGGAAGAGGAATACCTCAGTCTGGTGGAAGAGGTAATTTACTGACTCCAACAGCCTGAAGTAAAGGAGGACCCAGCTGCTGGACCCCTACTTCCCCGGTCAAGATCCAAAGATCCACATCTGGGGTAATGATCCGGCAAGTAGCCTTGGACTGTGGGTTGCCTCCTTCCCCACTGATCGCGCTGCCAGAACATGAACATACCCCTGTGACGCCCGCACACCCTGCCCCCTGCATCCTGCTCGGCGGTCGCCTGCGGTTCCCCCAGCTCCTACTCGGCGGCCGCTTGCGGTTCCCCCTACGGTGACTCGTGGGGTGTCTGCGGTCCCACCTCCGACTTGCCAGTCTCCTGCACCTTCTCCAGCTGTGGCTTCGCCCTCATCTGCTGTAGCTCGAACTCCCTCCTCGTCTCCTCCAGTGACCCTTTCGTCTTTCTCCTCGTCTCCTCTAGCGGTCCCTCCGCCTTCCTCCTCGCCCTCGCTGGACTCAACTTCGCCTCTTGCCTCGCGGTCGCCAAGGACCCCTCCGGCTCCGGCCTTGTGGTTGACTGTGGCCCCGGCTGCTCCCGTCTTATGCCCTCTGGGGTTACCTCCAGCTCCCTGGTTGCCCCCACCCTTTACCTCTTTGCTCTTTGGTTTAGCCCCTTTTGGTTGTCTGCACCTTGTTTCTCTTCCCCGTTTTTCTTTATCAGCTGTTTCTAGTTGTGTTTTAATTAGTTCAATGTATTTAAGTGCGTTTCTTTGAACATTTCCCCAGTCCGGTCATTAACGTCATTAACATCATAACGTCATTCCTGCCTCTTCCCAATAAATCCTATGTTTTCCCCGACTCCCTGGACTCCTGTGCCTGTTTCCCCGCACCATGCCTGCACCTCTAAAATGATCATACAGATGAATCATTACTATTCTTAAACTTAAGCTAAACATTACAACAATCATTAGGGCGATTTGCTGCAGGACTGCATTCATTTTTGCTGGGGGTATCTAGTAAACTCACAGCTATGTATATACTTATACATGTACTTGTAGAATGTACATAGTTCCACACATACAAGGCCTCAGTCCTGATGTACCAACAGACTGAGGAAGTCATTTGTCTGGCCTACCTGCCTATCTATCATCTATCTATCTATCTATCTATCTATCTATCTATCTAAGCAGTCACAGCATTGAGATGCAGTTCAAGGGGGTTGAATATATAATGAAACAATCACAGTGGATAAGTTCTGATACATTCAGTGCAATTAAAAATGAATTGCACCTAGTTCAGCAGGTATAATTGTTAAATATTCATCATCCGTCCATTTTCTGTAACCACTTATCCTGTTCAGGGTCGCTGGGGGTCCGGAGCCTATCTCAGGGGCAATGGGCGCAAGGCAGGGAACAATCCAGGATGGAGCACTAACCCATTACAGGGCACATTCTCACACCATGTGTACCTGTAAATATGCAGAGTGTAACTAAAGTCCAGCTTAGTTACAGTAGTGGTTCCACTTTAAGGGGGGATTGAGCACTGTAAGGTCAAATATGTCTCTTCTTCTCTGCTCTTGGGTAGGAGCTGTTCTTCACCCTGGTCGTGTGAGCATACAGGGCTGTGTAGCTCCTGCTGGACGGCAAAGTTGTGAAGATGCTGTGGTTGGGTTGGGTTGGGGTGGGTCGGGTCTCTGCAGACGTCTGCGACTTTGCCGCAGCAGTGGGTCATGTGGAATTCATCCAGTGATGGAAGCTGTGAGCTGATGTTCTTCAGGGCCGTTATAATAATGGACTGGAGGGCCTTCCTGTCCTGATAGGAGAAGCCGGAGTAACATGCTGTGATGCAGTGCGTGGTGATGGACTCTATAGTGCATCTGTAGAAGCTGACAGGCAGGTGTTGTGGGAGTTATGCTTTCTTCAAACTCCTGAGGAAGTTAAGCCTCTGAAGAGCTTCATTGGCCGTCCCTGTCGTTTTCATAGACCATGACAGGTCTTGGCTGATATGGGCTGCTATGCAGTCATCATCAAATAGAGGAAGCAATCAGGCGCATCTTCCAGTATCTTAGCAAGTGCATTTAACTCCAAATAATGAATTGTGAGCCCAGGTTGTTCCAGCCGGCCATCATTGTCTGTCCTGTCACTCCTTTGCCCAGCACCCTGAGTTTTACTGCCTTCTGACGGCTCACTTTCATGGTCGGTCTTGTTATCAGTGTCACTGAAATTGTCATGAAACACCACAACAGCATCATTGTCACTGTTATTACAGTTATTAAGCTTTGTATTACCTGCTGCAGCAGCTTGCTTATCAAATGCCTGTTTAATGCCATTGCTGAACAAATAATTGCAAGTGAGTCTATGAGGTTTGTGCTGGAAACAGGTGTAACTAAGAAACGGAAATAAGGAAATGTTCCTTTCGTTTCCATATGTGTAAGTAGTTCTTCTACAGCTATTAAAATAAGAACAATGATATAGTTTCACCCTAATCTCTGGCAAACAAAGACAAACAAAAGCAGGTTGCTGGTAAGATCTGAGCAGTCAATATTTAATTATTAAATAATTACTGACATAAAAGTGTGTAATGGGATTACTGGGAATGAGGGGCCCAACTGACACATTTTAGCTAAGATTACTTGGATTACAGTGAATATAATGAAAAGTCATTATAGAGATACAAATAGATTAACTTGTGTGTTACATAACTGGCAAATAATTTCATACTATAAAATGTCAATAAGTAGCAGGTTTTTAAAATGCAAACAGCATTTCAAACAACAAAATATAAAACAGCATGTGCTCAGAATGTGAATATCCATATTTCCTCTATGAGGATGTAGTTTTCCATTGCATCCGCCTTAGTGAAGAAGCCACCCACTTCCTCTGAATATAAAAGCTTTGGTTTCAGGTGTAACACCGGGCACAAGTCAACTACTGCACCACTTACCTGGAAATCAAGTAATACTTTTATTTCATTCAGGTAAGAAAAAAAGACACAGGCTCTTTACAGGTAAGATCTATTCAACTTTACATCACTATAGAATGTATCAGAACCATCCTCTGCTTAAGCATCGTATTTGATGAAAAATGAATGATAATATCCCACATGACAATGACTTATTTTATGATTCTTATGTGTTCTTTCCTTATTAGGGACACCAAGCATGGCTCACACCATAACAGTGGCTCTGTTGCTTTGCCTTCTTCCCTTGTTCGGATATGGGTAAGTGTTTGGTAGCAAGATGTCACCTCCATTGGATCCAAAGCTGCCCAACAGAAACAAGTTGTAAAAGGTTAAATAGGTGGTGGAATTAGTTTGTAGCTTAGCGGGTTGGACACTGAGCCCGTGATGTGACTAGTTGTTTTGTAATGATCCACAGCAGGCAAAGTGATGATCCTCCTTAAAATGTCTTTGTTTAGGCCTCAGTCTCTCTTGACTGAGATCCTGAATTTCAATATTATAACAAATCCAGTTTTCTGAATAGATTCTCTTTTGTTTGTTTGTTTTAGTGTGGAAGGGCAGCTGAGGCAGCAGACAGCATCAACGCTGGATACAGGTCTAAAAATGTTACATCTAAACACTGAACATGTTGGTCTCTTTTAATACCTGACTGTGGTGTCCTACCATTGCTCAGAGTGTGAGGGCCACAATATTCTCACCAATGAAAACCCTCTTTTACCAGGTTAAAAAAGCTGATTGGTCTTGACTAATGAAATATTCAAACTCAAAGATGACCACTTGAAAACGAACAACACATGCAGCTAATACAGTGAGATTAGAAAAATACTGGTAGTTTGGTTGTTATCGTTTATCACAACATGGCACTGTTGAATTTTCAGTTAATTTTCTGTAGCCACATACATAATGCCAGTCAGGCAAATCACAGTACAAAATTAATGCATAATTATAATCTTCAATTCTAATTAACTTTGCTTATAATTTCAAATGTAGAATTTAATTTAAAAATAAATGGTGCAGTCTGGGTTTAACAATCGGTAAACAGTAAGTATCTAGGGTTTTACCCATAATGCAGTGAAAACCAGGAGGTACATAAAGCTAAATTAAGATAATGTTTTCTGTATATATTTACATTTCTTTGCCTCTGCAGCTTTACGTTTTAAATGTGTAACGTACAACTTGGAGTGCATTAACAATACATTTGGCTTATACGTTTGTACCTAAAGACTGGCTTAGCAATGGGCAATTTCTAGTTATTGACTAATTTACAGGATTAACAACAGACAAGTTTTGCATTAACAGAAGTGACTTGGGATTTATCAAAGCAAAATGCTTAATCACTGGCAAAAGAAAATTCTACTAATAGATGTGGTTTTGGTTCTTTACAAATTTTATTTGTAAGAACAGGATACTCAGGTAATTCAGAAATTGAATTAGTATTGATTTACAGTCTTTGGCAGGTGTGTATCTGATATTAATAGGCGTTTTTGTGTGTTTTTGCTCCTCATTGACAGGCTTTTGCAAGGCCACCTGTCCACCTGGATGGATCAATTTCAAAAACCGCTGTTTCAAGTACATTGCTGTCGGGAAGACTTGGATTGACTCTGAGGTAACGTTACAAAAGGCCAATGAATAATGAACACCTGAACATCTTTAAGTACTTCAAACTATCCTTTCAAATCACAAAAAACCTAAATATATTTGAACTTTCCAGACAAGAGGCATGTAAGAAAAATGTAACATTTCCAGGTAGCCCAAAATGGTTTTGTTACAAAAATGGACTTTGACAGACAGTTACTTTGGGAAACCATTCCTTTTCAGTTAAACTGCCTGTCCAGCGGGGGAAACCTGGCCTCTATTCACAGCGAAGAGGAATTCCAGTTTATCAAGGCCCTGATCAAAAGCAGAGATTCTGCAGAAAATCCCACCTGGATCGGCCTGACGGACTCTAGCAAGGTAATGGCAAAAAGGGACTCTTTCATTCAGTCTCTTTTCTTTTCTGCTTACAGTATATCTCTGAGCTTGTTTTATTCTCTCGAATATCTTCAGTCATGCTTGAATACACTTATGTCACACTGTGTTCTCTGTTGCCTTCTATACTGGACCCTCTTCAGGAAGGTACCTGGTTGTGGACAGATGGTTCCAAAGTTGATTTCACCAAGTGGAACAGCGGTGAACCAAATAATGTAAATGGAGGAGAAAACTGTGTTCACACAAACTGGAGCGGTAAAGGTGACTTCATTCGCTGCCTTTCCAGTGGCTGGGGTCCTCCTGGTTCTTCCAAAGTTGTGCTAATTAAATAGGCTACAATTCTTGTTAATTATTTTTATCACTACGACCTGTCACTGTCGGGGTTACGGGTTTGACTCCTGGCCTGGCTTAGTGTGTGGAGTTGCATAATCTCCCATGTGTTTGCATGAGCTTCCCCCAGGGAATCCAGTGTCTTCTCAGAGACACATGGTTTACATGATTTAAAGTAGTGGGGTCTGTGCATCTGTGCCTTGAGATGGACCAGCATACCGTCCATGTCATGTGACCTGTACATCCTGACATCAGCTCCAATACAGCCTGTAATTTATCATAGCAAATAAAACACAAACAAATCTGGTTGTCAGTGTTTATAAAAACTTCATGTTGTTAGCATGCATGTTCCGGTTAATTCTAGATAAAATAGATATTCTGTTACAGGTAAAAAGGCATAATTCTTATGTTAGCTCTTTAAACATAGTGTTGCCTCCTCTTAGTAACACGGGAAGCACTCAGTACAATTCAGGAGCCCAGATGTGACTCTCTTGGTTTTGTTATACCTACAGGGGAAAAAGGATGGAACGACATAGCCTGTAACTCCTTCTATGCCTTTGTATGCGCTCGGCACTCTGGCATGTGACACGTGGAATGAAGCCGTGGTCTAAATCAGCAGCATTTCAATGTGACTCCCTTTCCTCTTCTGCGTTCAAGGCACTTTGGGACCCTTTCAGCTTATATCAACTTGTAATGCATTAAAAATGTCACCTCTTATAATTTCAGTTCTTGCTTAAAATACTGTATTAAACTATATTCATCTGCATCAAATGTATGTTTTCTGTTTGATATTTGGCAGATACTTTTACTCAGATCATGCTAAAATTCATACAAGTGTTTATAGATCAACTAAAAACAAAATATTTCAGAAAGTATGACAGTTACTTAATTTACACATTGAGCAGAACATAATTCACATGTCAGAAGTCAGTGAAGGAGGACCAACAATGGACTTCATTACAGAACAAAACACACACCTACTCAGAAACAAAAGGACCACAAGGGCTCAAAACAAGAGGCAGGGAGGGTAAACCAGGAGGGACAAGGGCTGACATAAACACAGGGAAGGGCTTGGGTAAAACAGTAACAAAGGACATCAACACCAGTAAAGGACAATGTATAGTGCCAGAGACCATTTTTGAAGAGGACGCTGTCGCGGAATCAGGTGCAAAGAAACTCCTTTAATTACGAAAAAAGGCAGTTTGTTGTCCAAGTCGTACTAACGGAGAATATAGAACACCAAAAACCCAAGAAGCTGACAGAATTGTTGTCGTGGGGCAGGCTGAGGTCGGGCGATGTGCGGAGTCGATCTTGGGACTTTGCAAATCTCGTGGTCAGGGTACAGGTGGAGGTTAGGTGATTCACGTCGGGCATCAATGGGGCTGAACAGAAACTTGGGGTCTATAAGGCAGAACACAGGTCAGAAAACTCGGAGAGGCAGAAATCGGAAAACGCTTGAACTCAGAAAACACTCTAGAAGATCTTGCATCAGAGTATAAGATCCGATGGCTAAAATAGTCTCCCTTATTTGGAAATAACCTGCAACAGCTTGCAGTAGGTGACTGCACAGAAACCTGAGAAACCGGACAACCCGGTATAGCAGTGTGAAACCGCAAGCTGACAGCTTGTTTAAACGGAGAAAGGTGGATCAAGGAATCCCCGAAGGCGTGGTCTTCCAGACGTCAGTTGGGGATCCCCGGGGTTGATCCGTGACGCAGACTGCTAATGAACCCAGGCCCGGTTCTAGACTGCATTCAATGGGGGGACAGTAAGAGATGTTGCTGGGTCGCTAACATCTAGTGCAGGGGTGGCGAACCCGCGGCTCGCGAGCCGCTTGCGGCTCTTTCACTGCTCGCCTGCGGCTCTTCAATATATCCACATGTTCTATGTTTATGTCACGTTCGGCGGGTGAGCGAGCGGGTAAGCAGGCGAGTGGAGCCGGACTGACAGGCAAACGGGGTTTTTAATAGGGAAGAGGCAGATATCCATGAACACAATACATCACAATACAATGCCGAATCTGGCAAACAGGGGGAGACGCGGACTAATATACACGAAAAAAGCCGAAATAACAGGGAACAGCTTGGCACAATCGGGGAAGCACACGTGGATAATGAGGGGGCGTGGCACACTCGAGGATCGAACGGAGCCGGGCGTGACAGTTTACACTTGCAAATTATTTTTAAAATGTCAAAACATAAATTTTCAATAAAGGGGTATGTATTTAAATGATTTTTTTTTTTACACAACCTCTCGCGCGATTTAACATAGACTAACACGATTGACGTGAAGTTCGTTAGTAGCCTGTCAATCATCATGGCAGAGTCAGGGAAGCGTACAGCTAAGC